GGTAATAGAAATAAGCGGTTCTTTTGGTTCTCTTGGTGTGGCGAGGCTTTACAGGTGTTTTGTGACGATACTCTTGGGTTTGGCGACCTGTGTGACTTGGTTAAGATAGAGGGATTTAGTATTGATGGCTTGGTCTTGTGCTAATGGGTTTCAAAGAGTTCTCGATGATTTCTACCACTCATTGGGACGAATGTCTTCTACCGGCATGAGGAGTATATTGTGTGTTGTGATTCGCTCGTGGATGGGGTCAAGTAGAAGGTTTCTAGAGGATGGAATGTGTGTTCTGCTTGTGATTCGAGGTTAATAATAGAGTTTTCGTGTTTTTATATGATGGCATGATAAATACGGCGCAACATGTGGAATTAAGGTTTGCATGTAAGAGGTTTTGGTTCTGTTCAAAGGGAAGGTCATGAGTTCTAGACAGCATGGACGGGTTTAGATGTTTAGAAGAATACTGGCACTATTTGGTATCACCTTGGAGGGTGCATATTTCAGAAGGCGCATTGCATTTTGTCTTGCGGATGCTTGACTGTATTACAGTAATTACCTGGTTCTTGACTGCTGATGTTCAAATTTTACTATGTGGTACGAAAGAATAAAGTAGTTCTCGTGAGATGATTGTGCTCGAGAGATGTGTCAGTTATTGGGTGGTCGAGTCAGGATCGGATATGAAGATTTTTGTATTCTCGTGATTTGGAGACTAGATGTCGCAGAGGTGGACTATTTCTTGGTTGTGAACTATGAAGGTATGGCCAGAGTTAGATAGCTGATGGTATGTGTTATGGATGGGTTTCAGTGGATCTTTGGGAAGGTTATCTACTCATTTCGGAAGGATCAAAATCGATTTGGAGGCCACCGGTAGGCCTAATGAGGATGTGTATGTTACACCAGATCAGAATTTGGGTACTCAGTACAACGACCGTTGAGGGGTCTGTCATTCGATTAGAGTTGATCTTATTCATTTTCTGATATTTTCATGTGTTTCTCTTCTATGCTACGATGGGTTATGAGATTGTTGACTATTTACACATATGATGCGGTTCTATTCGGGCCTTGTGGAGGAATTCAAGCGAGATGTCTCTTAGAGTGTTGAATGGTTGATTGCACCTTGGTTATGGTCTTCCGGTTTGTGGTATATTTTGCTATCCATTTCTCCATGGTTGTGATCATGCATTTCGCGTATTTGTTGTTGATATGCATATGGTTGTTGATTGTCAGCATCATGGCTCAAGGTATTCCATGTGGACTGGTGTTTGGATTGGGTCACGCATCGTGATGGAGTTATGCTAGGATATGATCCTTTGTACTTACTTCACGTGTTTTGTTCTCCTTGTGTGGTGGGTTCATATCATTGCGCCTTGCGGTGGTATTTGTTGAGCTTGCTGGACGGTTCTCTCATTTGATTCTCTTTCCCCTTATTGGGTATATTTGACTTGTTGCTTGTTTGGTGCACAAATTGTTGGGTATGTGGCTCGAGGTGGTGCTAGTGTGGTGTGTTGGTCGAGCAGCTTGTACTAGATGAGATGAGGTTATTGGGCCTGGAATGAGTGCTATCGGACTTGATTAAAGTATGTTTGGAAGAATAATGTCACTAGTCAGATTAGAATTTGACTTTTGTTCTTGTAGGGAGACAGAGAGCCCCACGACTTGTTGATATGATGAGTGGTTATGAGTTACTACATATTTCTTTCATCATTGGCAGTGTACGAAGGTTTTTGACAAGGTTTTATTTGATATGAGGTTTGTTACCGGTGTCGGATTTGTTATTAGGCAGATATTATAGTCGAAAGTAATTGCTATGAGTATCCGAGTTATGTGGTATATCATGTGATTATATCATGGGTTGTGGTGATGGCTTGATACAACTTGTTCAGATTTATACAGTGTACAGATACGAGAATCGGATATTATAAGGAGTTCCGGAGCTTGGGGATTTGGGTTTTAAGGTTTATGGACTATGGTTGAAGTGAGGATTTTCAGTTAGGTTGTATTGTCAGGATTATATGAATTGTGGTGACGTGGTATCACCCATGGGTAGGTGCATGATGAGTTTATTCAGTGACTTGATAGCTTTGGAACGACTCTTGGCACGTTCGAGGACGAACATATATTTTAAGTGGGGGAGAATGTAACGACCCGACCGGTCGTTTCGAGCATTTGCATTCAGCTTAGCGGTTTGAGGTCATGAGTAGCTTCATATGGTATATTATGATTTGCGTGTATGGACGGTTTTGGTTTTCGAGTTGTTCGGAATTGATTTGGAAGAATGATTCTTAAATAGGAAACTTTAATTTGGAAGAGTCGATCAAGTTTGACTTTTGTGTATTTGACCTCGGATCGGAGTTTTTATGATTTTGTTAGGTCCAGATGGTAATTTTGGACTTGGTCATATGCCCAGAATTGCATTTGAATGTTTCTACACGGTGTTGGCACTATTTGGCGAAAGTTGGCAATTTGAAGGTTTGGAATGTTCATAAGTTTGATCGAGAGTTGACTTTGATGATATCTAGTTCGGATTGTTATTCCGAGAGTTGAAATAGGTTTGTTATGTCATTTGGAACTTGTGTGCCAAGTTTGAGGTTATTCCAAGTTGATTTGATATGGTTCGACACGAGTTTTGGAAGTTGAAAGTTTAAAATTTCATTAAGTTTGATTTGAGATACGATTCGTGGTTTTAATGTTATTATGTGTGATTTGAGGCCTCGAGTAGGTTCGTGTTGTGTTTTGGGACTTGTTGGTATGTTCGTACGGGGTCCCGGGGGCCTCGGGTGTGTTTCAGATTCATTTCGGATTCATTTTGGGCTATGTTGCCTTGCTGGAGAATTTGCATGTTCTGGTGTTTCCGCATCTGCGGAGGGTTGGCCGTAGATGTAAGACCTCCGATGGGGGATCATGGTCGCAGAAGAGAAGAAGGCTGGAGGATGGGATATCCGCATATGCAGAATGTTAGGCGCATCTGCGTGACCACAAAAGCGATGGTTTGGGCGCAGAAGCAAGAAGCTGGTTATGGGCTAAGCGCAGAAGCAGGATGTGTCACGCACCTGCGATGTCGCAGAAGCGAAAGCGTTTTGGAAAGTGTGTGAGGTCAGGGCTTCAGTGTTATCCGCAAAAGTGGAGTTTTTATCGCAAAGCGATGCCGCAGAAGCGACTGTTGGACCGCACATGCGACGGTGCCTGGGCAGGTTCTATATATTCGAGGGTTGAGTTATTTTATTCACATTTTGAGTTGGAGAGCTTGGATTTGGGCGATTTTGGAGGGAATTTTCACCACATGGATTGGGGTAAGTATTGTTTTACTCGGTTTTGATTATATTCCATGATTCCATATTCGATTTTGGCATTTTGATTATGAATTTAGAAGAGAAATTAGGGGGGGTTTGTCTAAACTTTCGTAAAGTGAATTATTGAGTTCTAAACATCGATTTGGAGTCGGATTTGAGTAAAATTAGAATGGTTGGACTCGTATTCGAATGGGTTATCAGAATTTGTGAGTTTTGTCGTGTTCCGCGGTACGGGATCGGGTTGACTTTTTGGTTGACTTGGAGTATTTGGTTAAAGATTCGACCTTTATTATTTGTGTTTGCTTCCTTTGGCATTATTTGATGATTTGAGTTGCTTTTGGTTGGTTTCGTGCCGTTCGGGGGTCGGTTAGCGCGGGATAGCGTTTCTAGAGTATTGTTTGGCTTGCTCGATATTTGGTTTGAATTGCTTGAGATAAGTATCTTTCCTAAACTTGGTTGAGGCACTAGTTACCTGAGTTATTTGTGATAGCTACGTGCTATGGGTGCGCATATATGTGGGGTTTGAGCCCATGTGAGAGCACCGGGGTATTTATCCATTCTTAGGCTATGACATGCTTTTAATTGATTTGCTAAGCCTTATATTGTGATGTTTCTCATAGTTGTAACCATGTTGTGAACTATTTGAACCATGTTAGAGGTTATATTGAGGTTAATCCCCTGAATAAACTTGATAATTTCTATTTCCGTGATGAAATTGTCGATTTGAGCTATGATAGCATACTTTACACATGCATACACCTTAACATGTTATTTATACTCGTCCAGGAGCATGAAATCTTATATTCATTGATCATATACATGTATTCTTGTATATTTTCTTATGTGTGATACGATTTGGACTGGATGCATGTGACCACGCCGTGCGGATTGTGTTGTTATGCATGCGACCATGCCTAGCGAATTGTGTTATTATGCATGTGACCATGTCGAGCGGGTTGTGTTGTTATGCCCGTGACCACGCCAGGAGGATTGTGTTGTTATGCATGTGACCACGCCGGACAGATTGTGTTGTTATGTCTGTGATCACGCCGGGTTGATTGTGTTGTTTCCTGTGACTACGCCGGGCGGATTGTGATATTGAGCCTGTGACCACACCGGGCGGATTATGATATTGAGCATGTGACCACGTCGGGCTGATAGCACGTTGAATTGGTCGTGCTACATGTGGATACGGATCCATCACCCAAGGTCACCCTCTCATGTGCCTTCTTAATGGTGTACCCGCGGATTGTGAGAAATTGACAATTTTTCTGGTTGATGTGAGCTCTGGGAAAGCTGGTTACTGTTTTGGTTTGATTACTGAGATTCTGATGTGGGCCAAAGAGCTGTAATGTGATTTCTATTTGGATCGAGTTACGCGTCATAAGGGATTGATATTTAATTATTGTATTTCTTCTTTAATTGCTATATTCCTTGGATGTTTATCTTATTTATTTGCATATCTTCCCTATATGTTGGATTGTTGGATTGTTGACTGAGTAGAGTGCATTAAGGATATTTTGATCTTCAAGGTGGTCTTATCTAAAATTTCATGATTCGTTCATATTAATGTGTTGTACATGTTGGAAATTATGAACCGTACAGGTGATTGGCGAGTATCATTTATAATTCTTGTTTCTATTACCTCGCCGAGGTTAATTATGATACTTATTGAATACATGGGGTCGGTTGTACTCATACTACACTTCTGCACCTTACCTGCAGATCTTGGAGCTGATTTGTTGTGCATGGCGGGAGTTGGCATTGAAGATATACCTGTTTTCCTGTCACGACAAAAAATCCCATCATGAGTATCGTGATGGCACCTAGTCCCGAGGACTAGGTAAATCTAACACATGCTGAGTTATTAACATATTTAAATCATTTAATCATTAAACGTAAATCGGTAACTGACATACATAGCTAAGTCGCAAAAACTCAAATGGGTTCTGCTAAGATTATGTATTAGGAGGAATGGATTTCATACTTTAGAAGAATAAATGTCATAAAAAACAATTAACTTGGGAAGGTTAGCACATGTTGCTAATATAACATATTGCTTTAACATTCCAAATACCTATTGTTGTCCTAAAGAATTAAAGAGAACACATTTGTTTCTTTAAATCTGTACGAGGCCAAAAGATGAAAAGAAAATATCAAATTTCCGCTAATTTACATGATAAAATCTGCAATAGAGAAAGCAGTTTCAATTCCATAAATCACAATTTAGAAGGTTATAAATAATGAGAAGGATGAACCATGCAACACGATTACAATCTTAGACCTACCACATTATAGGGGTTGAGAATCCGAGAGGGGTAATCTTTAAAGACAGAGAGAAAAATCAACCATGCAACACGATTACAATTCAAATATCAAACGAAGAAGCAAATATTGAAAGATAGATTAGCAATCAAACAGATAATCAACAAAAGGGGAACAAAAAAAAGAAAAATAAATGAAGAATAAAATGACCTCATTTGAAAGTGGTCAACTGGCTCTTCGTGATCTCTTTTTTCACATTTATCTTCGACGTCAAATTTCACATTTCTCAAGTTCACAATAGCGTATGTGCAAACAGCTTTTGGAGTTTCTTAACCGAGAGAGAGAAAGGTGGAGAGTTAAAATGGTGAGACAGATTTGATGTAGAAGAAAGAGAAAGATTTACAAAATAGTCTCAAACTTGCCTTAATTTCTGGAAACTTACGGATCAACTACAGTAATAACAACAAAGCCAGGAGAAAATGCACATGAATAATAGCGAAATGGCTTGGTTTATTTGGTCTGGCAAGATGATGTTAAATCTTTTCAGGCGTCAAGTACAACCGTTTGAAGCTACACATCATATGTTATTACCAGTTTACCCTTGGTCGTACTCTACTTCCTTAGCTTCATATCACCTAAAAATTTCTATGGTATAAACAAAATTAGATAATTGAGCTTACCCGTAGTGTTAACTGTTAAGTGCTCAATCCTCAATGGACCAAATAAAAAATGCATACCTGCAAAGTCCAATAATAATGAACCTTCAAAAGATGAATTATAGAAACACACGAATCCAGAAATTATAGAAAAATCAGCGGAAGTTCAGTGCAATTCAAATAAATTCACAGACAGAAAATAAAATATCACCTCCACATTATTCCAAAATAAGCAAAAGAAAATTCAAACTTCTCACATGCCGCAACATTAGACAACTGTTTGTAGAGTTCACATGCCGTAACATGCAGTGAAAGAATTAGATTTATTTTCCTGTACAGCAAAGATAGCACAGAACACATAGAACGCAGAGCCAAAGAACAATATGACGGCAGAGACTAAATCTGAAATGTCTAAATCACTTAAACTGACATCCATTAACATTACAGAGAGGATTAAGGCTCATAGTTTACTGCATTTGAAGAAGATGACCACGCAATTACAGATCGAAACCTTGAAATTTCTAGAAAAAAATTAAAAAGGAAGAAAATCAATTACCTCTAACCACATGCATCAAAATCTTAGAAGTTGTGAAAAATTCCCTCCGTATGATCTTAGAGAAAAAAGCACCAAAATCCAAAACCAACAGGAAAAATTAAACCGAAGCTCACCTGCAACAGGTAAATCCAATCGGAACATGAGAACAAAAACAATGCCCGCTTAAGAAAAAGGTGAGAGCGAGATAAAAATTGAAATTTAATGACCAAAAAAAAGGCGAACTTCGAGTTGCAGAGAATGAAAAAGAAATAGAGTGACGAATAAGAAATATGGCAAAATCAGCTGAGGCTTGTGAAACTCAGTGGGACCCTAGTAGACTGTAGTGGAATCCAGCTATATCCAACAAAATGTTCCATCACGTGTCACCTAGAAAGAAGAAATAGAAGGGCTGAAAGTCAAGTACCAAAATACCCATAAAAACTAATATTATTTCGAAAGTACCCTTGGATGCACAAGGGTACCTTCACTTGTTATATAGTTAAAATGTGTTTAACTCTCAAAATGAGTAATAATTAAATTAGTACGCGGTTTAAAAGATATGTGATTTAATTGGATACAAATGATCTAAGAACAACAAGTAATTAAGTTAAAGATAAAATGAACAATCAAACCAATTATGATATGATGATCAAGCCTGATCTTAAGTTGAACACTGAAATTCGGTCTCGATTGGACCCTCGATGTAAGCTCGGTTGCGATTAGAGAAGAGAAAAACTTAAGAACACTTTGAATAATAGCTGAAAGACAAAAATGAACTTTTATATTGCTTTGATTTGCATGTCAACACTGTGTCAAAATAAAAGAAATTTTTCCCTTTATATAGTAAAGAAATTTCAGTCCTAGTAGCAGTCTAAATAAGGTAAAAATCCTTTTTTTCAGGTAAATGTCGATCTTCAGTTGATATCGGACGGGATTCGCGTCGTAATATCCAGTTTAGGGCGAATATTACTGCTCCCTACTTGTCATGCATAACTGTTCCCTGCATTTCTCGTGGTCTATAAACTTTACTTGGTCTAGATCCATTACTTTGTCATGCCCGATCCCAGATACATCGTTCACTCCTCTTGGGTTTAGATATGAGGGGTCCTTCAGCCTTGCTTATAGTCGCATTGAACCGTACTTCCCTCTTATTTTCTTATTGGGGAATCGAGGAAAACTTTGCCCCCGATTTTACCCGTACACAGATAGTCCCTTCGCTTTTCGGAGAGCAGATTTATCAAAGCGACGAGAAGCAATGAATTAACCATGTTCCTTCTTTTGTACACTACAGCCGAGATGACGGGTCAGTGAAACGTCCGATCAATTACGTCGTTCTGACTTCGGACATGTGTCAGCCGCCGGTTGACCGTCCCCGAATGTGAAATGTCACGCATTGATTACCCCTTCTCTATAAAGCTTCGGTTCTTTTCTCACTTTTTTACTTTCTAATTTCAGAGCTCCTTAATTTACCCCCAAACTTTTCACTTATTCTTAACTCCTTCAAATCTTCATACATTTTTCCATATATCTTCATACTTTCATCTTCAAATTTTCATATTCCATCTTTTAATCTTCAAATTTGACCTTCAATCCTTCATCCTCATCTTCAAATCTTCATCCTCACCTTCAAATCTTCATATTTCCCAGAATTTGATGGCGAAGACTTCGAAATATGTGCCTCAACAGACCGTCCCTTCAACTTCTAACCCGGCCATGAATGTTGAAGTTGTCGTACCTGAAGTGGCCCCGGAACCTCCCCTGAAGAGCTTCATCTCCGGAGGCTACTCCATTGAAAATGACTTCAAGGTCGAAAAAGCCTCCAGTTTACAGGACCAAGGCGAGGGGGTATGGAGGTACATATTCTCCATTATCGAGGATACACCCCCTATAGTTTGGGAGGACTACAATTGGGAGGGAAAAGAAGTAGTCGTCCCTGGTCCCGATGACGGCATTACCACTCATGTAGAGGGGTATATAAGTATTTGCACTTATCCCTTCACACTTGCCCCGGTGGATCCCATAATTCTTAACTTCTGCAAAATGTATGAGGTCTGCCTCGGGCAGATTTACCCGTCCTTTTGGAGGATCATAATCCTCCTCCACCATTTTTGTCAACAACACTGAAGCATCGATTTACCATCGACCACCTGCTTCGTATCTACAGTCCCCGAGTTTTCCTAAGGGGTTAATCAAGCTCGTTCGTCGGGTAAGTAAAGCTCTATTTTCGAGCATCGATGAAGATCGAGATCGAGGCTGGCAGGGGAGATTCGTTCGGGTAAAAATCGAAGATCTCATTCCCTCTTAATTCTTATCGTTCCCTGAAAAGTGGAACTTAGCCCGTAAGTTCCTTTCCTTTCTGAGTACTTGGAATTTCTTTTGTTCTTTTTACTTATTGCCTGCTTCTACCATCGTGCAGCGGTTGCCCAAGTTCCCAATGCAGTTCATCACTTCAAAGAGTAGGTCGAGGGTAGCTGCAAACAACTGTCGTACTTTGAGCGCGAACGGCGCAAACTCTCAAATGGCAAGTGGGAGGCTTGTTCCCATGGTGAGTGCTCCTCCCGACCAAGTCTATTCTCATACTCAACCATCATTTCCACTAAGTTCTCTTTCTTTCATAGGTTTACCCAAGACCACTAAGCTTCGGGTATTGGACAAGGATAAAGCTTCGTCCTCATTCAATAAACCATCCGCTTCAGGTCAGCCTGGAGCTAAGAGGAGAAAAAGAGAAAAAAGAGGAAATCTTTGGGCTCCCCGGACGCCGAAGCCAAGTAGAAGAGGGTAATGGTCTGGGTCTGAAAAATCAACAAGAAGAGTACCCATGCCAGGGTACTGGACTCTGACTCCCTCTACCGGATCAGGGATTACCCTGAAGATGACGAACTAGAGTTCGTCGCTCATGGTTCGGCCATTGATGAAGAAGAACAGGCGGCAACCGGAGAAAGTGGCTGAGAGGCCGATCCCTTTTTAGCTCGGGAGTCATAAGGAAAATCCGAGGCTATGGTCTCTCGAGAAACTATCCTTGCTCCGAGGGAAGCTGAAGGTGTCACTGACATCGCGGACTCGTCGTCCCATACAGAATCCTTATTCGACGAGGCTCAGGCCATTAAGGAGAATCCAAATGAGATGGCACGGGCTACAGACGAGGTCCTCAACATGTTCTTTGACGGTGTGGACATGGGCGCATTGGAGGATTATTCCAAGTTTGGTCATTTAGAGATCCTGAAAAAGGACGTGTCATTGGGAGAAGGCGAGCCGAGCTCGAGCCCAAAGCTGGTGAAATAATTCCCTACTCCGAGCATGGATCCCGACCGTAAAAGAATGATCGTATTTACTATTATGGCGAACACTCGGGTATTGTCCGCTTCGGTGGGCATGGCCAGCTATCTTTGTTGCCTGGTGACCGAAGAGGACCAGGTGAAGATGAAAAAGGTGAGCACATCGATCCTCTTCAATGAGGCACAACAGGCACTGAACTAGGTAAGTTTCCCATTCCTTTTGCCCTTCGTGCATCTTATTTAACTTCAGTGTATTATCATGATCTTATTGATTTATTTTTCAAGCTTCAGTGCGCCATCATGAAAGCTTCCATTGGTCTTGAATGAAAGTCAGCCAGCTCGAGTTTGAGCTCAAGGAGCAAGTCTGGCAGAAGGACATGTACAGGGTTCTCGGCGAGCAAAAATATGAGGCCCTCGAGGATCTCCCTGTTCTTCAAGCTGAGCTAGAAAAAGCTCAAAGGGAGGCTTTGTCTGTGAAGTGGGAGCATGCCGAACTGGTCGAGAAGGTAAGAATTTTTTAGATTAAAAATGAGAGGTTACACGTAGTGACTAACGATGCAACCTCGCAAGTCCAAGAGAAGATAGACCTGATTGACCAGCTTCGGGCCGAGATGAACGAGCTCAAAACTTTGGCCGAGACGCTGAGGAGCAGGATGGACCTTCTGGCCTCAGAAAATGAGGCTACAAAAGAGGAGTTGGCATTGGTCAAGGACCAGCTCCGGGTGGCAAAGGATAAGGCCGACAAGTGGGATTGGGTAAATGACGAGCTTCGAGCACAACTGGATTCAGCTGTCTCGGAATGGGACAACCTCGTTCGGGAATATACTGCGCTCAAGTCCAAGTTAGAGGCAGCATCGATTAATTCCTCTGAAGTCGAGGAAATGTCGGCCCAATACAAAACCGATGTGGAAATAGCTGAGGCCCGCTTAATAACAAAGGCCGAGTATGTAAAGGGGTTATCCCGGAGGGAGACTCTCGAGGAGATTCATGCCCGGGGGTTTGATCTGTCGGCCGAGATTGAAGAGGTCAAGAGGCTTGAGATCGAGGCAAAAAGGCTATATGAGCCCAAAGGTTCCGGTGTTGAGTCGGGCTTTGGTGAAGATTAGGCGTAGATGCCTTAGCTTATCGTTTTTTTTTATTTCCTTTTGTATATTTCTTTTTGTTTATTTTGAGGCCGTTTTATCGTGCCTTTGTAAATATTTTTGGAATATATAAAAAATTTCCCTTCAGCAACACTGTGTCTTTTATTTTTCAGCATCTGTTTGCAATTTTTTATTTGAAGATCGTCATTAATGCCTTAGCATAGAGTTGGACGTAATCTAGAGTACCCATTTTTCGGAAGCTCGAGTGAGGACCGGTTTCGATAATAACTCTGAGTTGTTTAGGCTTTGAAATCTCGATAAAAAAATGAAGACCTTTAAGATACTTGAGTGTTTTAATCGTACTCGACGATGTTTTGCCGAGGGTAACCTTTTTAATATGTTTTAATCATATGTAAGGGCCTTACTTTCTGAGTACGGACATGGACGTCTCCAAGCCATTTTATGTTAGCTGTAGCCTTTCATATTGGGGCCCTGCTTAATAAGGTCGGTGCCTCCAGGATTCGATAGCCCGGGCCATCTGATCTTTTTGTCAAACGACAGTCCCCGAGTCGGGGTGTCCCGTAGGCTCTAGGATTTAGGATCCGTTATTTGTTCTAAGTAACTTAACGAATGTATCGATGGTGCAAAATGCGTAGTGATAAAATATAGACGGAAAATTTCTTTCATTGATTTGCTTGTAGAGTACATAATGCGCATAAGCTTTATGCCACGGAAAGAGTAAGCTATATGGGTATGGTTCATTTGACCATTTGACCCTTATAACAGATCCTAATCATCAAGCCTTGGCTTTAAGTATTAAATAATAACACCTTCTAAGGATCCTAACTTAGGGGGTAATGGCCCCCAGTATTAGAGACCGAACTCGTGAGGGCTCGAATATTGTCGGTCCGGCATAGGTGATCAGAAAGTATGGCTTTAGGTCGGCCTTCGAAACTAAGGTAGCACGTTTTACTGTTTCCTCGTTAGAAACCTTTCCGTAAAATCCACTTTGGGAAAAATCGGATCAAGAGAAAAAGAGTACAATATGTGCTTTCAGACTCAATTATCACATTTGCCCTAGGCCTAGTACCTACATAAGTTAGTCCATAATATAACAAATTTTAAAAAGGGAATTGTGCTTGTACCTTATCAGTTGTTCTGTAGTTGTTCACCATTTTCGGACTCAAGTTTATATGAACCTTTCCCGGTTATTCCGGCAACTCTATATGGTCCTTCCGAATTCGGGCCTAGTTTTTCGTCGTTTGGGTTCCTAGTGTGTAGCATTACTTTACTTAACACCAAGTCTCCTACTTGAAAATATCGAAGGTTATCTCTTCGGTTGTAGTACCTCCCCACTCGCTGCTTTTGGGCGGCCAACCGGACCAGAGTGGCTTCTCTCCTTTCGTCTAATAAGTCCAAACTCGTGGTCATGGCCTCGTCATTTGATATTTCAGTAGCATACTGGAACCTGAGGCTCGATTCCCCCATCGCGATCGGGATTAAGGCTTCTGCACCGTAGACTAGGGAGAACGTGGTCGCTCTAGTACTTGACTTCGAAGTCATTCAGTATGCCCACAAGATTTCTTTCCACTTCCCCTTGAATCGGTCAGTCTCTTTTTCAAGTTTTGGAGTATAGTTTTGTTCGTTGACTCCGCTTGTCCGTTCCCATAGATTGGTAAGGTGTTGACAATATCTTTTTGATTTTGTGGTCTTCGAAAAACATACTTACCTTGCTGCAGACGAATTATTTTCGTTGTCGCAAGCGATCTCGGTCGGTATCCCAAATCGATATATTATGTAATCCCAGATGAAGTCGATGACCTATTTCTCCCGGACCTTCTCGAACACCTGAGCCTCGACCTACTTGGAAAAATAATCGGTCATGAGTAGTATGTAGTAGGCTTTACCGGACGCCCATGGAAGGGGACCGACGATATTCATCCCCCATTTTATAATCGGCCATGGTGATAGGACCGGGTAAAGCATCTCTCCCAGTTGATAAATCATTAGGGTGTGTCTTTGACACTCGCTGCATTTCCGTACGAAGTCTTTCGCATCTTTCTATATCTCATTCCAGTAGTAATCGGCTCTGATTAACTTTCGAACCAAGAATTCTACCCCCAAGTGGTTCCCACAAGTGCCCTCGTGGACCTCTCTCATAGCGTATTCAGTCTCTCCCGGACCCAAGAACCTAGCTAGTGGGCCGAAGAAGGATCTTCTGAACAATTTCCCCTCAACCAAGCTGAACCTGGCAGCTTTGGTGCGCAGGTCTTTTGACTCCTTGGGATCCGATGGCAATTTTCCTATCTTCAGGTAGTCTATGTATTTGTTTCTCCAATCCCAAGTCAAACCTGTCGAGTTTATTTCGGCATGACCTTCTTCTACCACTGAGTTCATCAGTTGTAACACTGCCCCCAATCAAATTCATTAGAGTCGACAGACGACCCCAAGTTGGCCAGTTCGTCAGCCTCACTATTTTGATCCCGAGTTATGTGTTGTAGAGTCCATTCCTTGAATCATTGTAAGGTCACCTGCAACTTATCCAAGTACCTCTGTATTCATTACTCCTTTACTTCTAACATCCCATTGACTTGATTTACGACAAGAAGGGAGTTACATTTGGCCTCGATCACTTCGGGCCCTAGGCTCTTAGCCAGTTCTAGACCTGCAATCATAGCTTCATACTCGTCTTAGTTGTTAGTCAATTTTACAGTTCTAATAGACTATCTAATTACATTACCCGTAGGTGGTTTCAATACGATACCGAGCCCGGACCCCTTCAAATTGGAGGCACCATCCGTGAATAGGGTCCAAATCCCCGAGCTAATCCCTGAAGTAAGTAGTAAGTAATTCTCGACCTCGGGTACCAAGGTCGGCGTAAAGTCAGCCATAAAGTCCGCCAAAATTTGAGATTTTATGGAAGTCCAGGGTTTGTACTCGATATCAAACCCGCTAATTTATACGGCCCATTTGGCTAACCGCCCCGAGATCTCAGGCTTATGCATGACATTCCTCAACGAATAAGAGGTCATGACACATATGGGGCGGCATTGAAAGTACGGTTTTAATTTCCTAGAAGCGCTTAGTAAGGCGAGCGCTAATTTTTCTAGGTGAGGATACCTTATTTCTGCATCGCCTAGGGTTTCACTAACATAATAAATAAGAAATTGTGTACCTTCTTCTTCCCGAACCAGGACACCACTTACTGCCACCTCGAAAACCGCCAAGTAGAGGTACAACTAATCGTCCACCTTCGGAGTGTGAAGCAAGAGGGGAGCTTGATAGGTATTGCTTGAGTTCTTCTAAAGCTTGCTGGCATTCCGGGGTCCAAGAGAAGTTGGATTTCTTTTTCAATAGTGAGAAGAACCTATGGCTCTTATCCGACAATCTCAAAATAAACCGGCCCAATGCGGCTATTCTCCCGGTCAGTCTTTGTACTGCCTTGACGTTGTCAACTATGGCGATGTCCTCTATGGCCTTTATTTTGTCCGGGTTGATCTCTATTCCCTGGTTAGAGACTATGAATCCGAGAAACTTGCCCGAGCTGACTCTAAATGCACATTTCTCCGGGTTTAGCTTCATGTTGTACTTCCTCAATATGTCGAAGGTTTCCTGCAAATGTTTCAAATGGCCCTTTGCTCACAGGGACTTAACCAACATATCGTCAATATAAACTTCCATTGATTTTCCTATTTGTTCTTCAAACTTTCGGTTGACTAGGCGTTGGTATGTGACACCGACGTTCTTTAATCCGAATGGTATTACGTTATAATAGTAGGTGCCAAATTTGGTTATGAAAGAAGTCTTTTCTTGATCGCCTAGGTCCATCCAAATTAAGTTGTACCTAGAATAAGCGTCGAGAAAACTTAGTATCTCTTGTCCGACCGTTGCATCGATCATTCGATTGATGTTAGGCAAAGGGAAAGAGTCCTTCGTACATGCCTTGTTTAGATCCTTATAATATACACAAATCCTAAGTTTATTTCCTTTATTAGGCACGAATACTACGTTAGCTAACCAATCTGGGTATTTAACTTCCCGGATGAAACCTATTTTTAGAAGTTTTGATACCTCATCCTTGATGAATATGTGTTTGATCTCGGACTATGGCCTTCTCTTCTGCTTAACCGGATGGAACTTTGGATCCAAGCTCAATTTGTGAGTTGTTACCTCCGATGGTATCCCTGTCATATCTAGATGAGACTAGGCGAAACAATCAGCATTAGCTTTAAGAAAATCAATAAGTTTTTTCTGAGCTCGGGGGTTAATCCCGTGCCAAGGTATACCTTTCGATTTGTTAGGTGCTCGATCAATATAACCTACTCCAACCCCTCGATCGTCGATTAGATGGCGTCAGTGTCATCGGGCGCTATGAAAGATCTCAGGACGTTGTTCATCCTCATCGCCTGCTCTGTGCTCCTTCTGTTTTTACGGATCGGCTGAGGCCGGTATCATTGATTCGATTTAGTTTTTTTTTTTGGTCGGTTCCCTGCTTTTTGATGTTGAAACAGCGGGCGCCGGGATTACTTCATCGATAGCGAACATTTCCTTTGCGCCTGGTTGTTCTCTATAGACTGTTTTGACTCCTCCTGGAGTGGGAAATTTCAGTGCCTGGTGTAAGGTCGAAGGCACCACTCTTGTGTTGTGAACCCATGGCCTTCTGAACAAGGCGTTGTACCTCATATCCCCTTCAATCACCTAGAACTCTTTTTCTTGGGTGGTCCCGGCAGTGTTTACCGGTAAAGTTATATCACCCTTCGTGGTCTCGCATGCCATGTTGAATCCGTTCAACACCCGGACCGCCGGTACGATTTGATCCTGCAACCCCAGTGTTCTATGACCCTCGATCTGATGATGTTGGTCGAGCCACCTAGAGCAATCAACTGTAACGACCCGGCGGTCGTTTTGGGTATTTTGGCCCTGATTCCTTAATTTATACTTCCTCTATGTTATATTGTGGTTACGTGACTCGCCGGGGTGTTTGGTTTTGGTTTTGGGAGAGTTTCGAAATGATATAGGACACA